TGAAAAATTAATGGCGGCCGGTAGTAAAAACGCAAAATTTTCAAACTTCCCGTCGGAATATGAAGAAAAAATTTCTACAGGTGATTAATAGGGTAGTATGGATTATTTGGACGAAGTTTCAAGTTTGTACGAAAAGATAGCATTTTTCGTCCAAGGGGCACTTTAAGAAAAAGTGCGTCAACATTTTGAAATAAAAGGGTTCAGTAACTCGATATATGGGAGCGGTACTCGAAGTATTTGTGGCATGAAGCCCGTTGATAGTAGATAAAACAGCTCAAAAAATCTGAAACCGCTGTTTATTTTCTTTGAGGTGAGTGTTTCGATCCSMAAAGACAACGAATCTCAAGAAATATCGTGTGAGTAAAGCTAGGTATGGGTTTTATAGTAAATCAAAGCGTTTCTTCGAACATAGAGCACTTTGTGTTCAACATGATGTGACGCCCCCCGGAAAAAAWCTGACCCTAGATCCGAAAACCTGACTCTAAAATCTGACTCTAAAACCTGACACCAACTTCACTCTGGTTCTCCAACAAGCTGAAAAGTCGAACTTGGGCAAGTTTTCCACATATTTTAGACCACACCCTTCCCCCTACAGGTAAAAATCCTCCATGTTTTTTCCCTCGTAGGATGAGAGGGGTGGTATCACACTACAACAACTAGCATACCATACTAATGACAATCATTATTATTGTAATCCATTGTGCATCTCAAGACTAGTGAAAAATGGATATATTTCAAAATGTAATTAATAAACGTTTAAGAAATAATAATTTAAATAATACGTAATAATCAGTCATTATTTTGGTGGAAGCATTATTCTCTCCTGATCCCTACCACCTTACCCCCTGTATTATGACACCACTCTTTTAATTAATAATTCGCTAGTGGGTACCCTGTGTTCTCACGCCAACTTTCAATCACGGATCTTCATCCTACTTCGGTTCGTACTCTGAGTCAGCAAAGGTGAGTTATGTTTCGTACATGCACGTATAACGCGAGAATGATATAGGATTTGCAATGATCGGTGAATACTGTCTTCGTTTCAAACATTTTATTGACGAATTCGATCGTTACGCAGGTGATCAGTCTGTCACGGAAACAGCAACAAAGAAGCCATTGACGTGCAACTAGTGCTGATTATGCTCATTTCGATTCCGGTTTTCAATTTCTGCGATAATATAAAGAGTCCAAGAAGCAATTTTCCTCTCATTTCTGCCCTGTAGGGAATCTTTTAATAAATCAATACTACTGTACGACGTATGGTTGTGATGCGAACGAACCAGGGAGTTGTAAAATAACGAATCGATTCTTACTAATAATATTTTCAAGGTCCCCTCCCAAATATTGTGAACCAGATTTTCCGAGAGTTGTGGAGTTGTAGTGGTAGTGCTTCTTAACTCTCAACTCTGGGGTCTTGCGTTTAATTTATTATAAACAAACTCACCGTCACTTGTAATGTAGTTTAATAGTAGAGGGAGATCAGTCCCCTCTACTAACTATGCCTGTAAGTAGTGTTAGGGTCTCTCCCAAGTTGATTCTTCAAGTATTTCCGATTTTCCTCCCTCACCAAAACCCAGCACGCTAAACTCGAAGTTTATCTGCAAGTTAGAAATTGTGCTTACCTGTATTTTCAGATGGCAGAGAAAGACAACTCAAAGCCCCCACCTTCCCCTCCCCCAGGGTTTAGAAAAGTGAAAAGAGAGTACTGGGAAGCTGCTGATCCACACAAGAAGAGACCAGCTGTCAACGGGCACACTGGAATTTTTGCCTATCATTCTGATGACTGTTTGTGCAGTATGGCTGGATGGAAATGTAGGAGAGATGGAGACATATGGAGCTGTTGTGGACAGACAGAAAAGTACTGCAGATGTGGGTAAAAAAGGGTACAATATAACTGGATCCAAAGGACTCAGTACTGACCAAAAATATAAAAATCTTCTCAAAATCCATAAACCACTGGCTGGTACTAAATGTTTGGTATAAGGTTCATCAATAGAACATGAGGAAACTTTCATTTATACAGTGCTTTTGTATTAGTCCTTACTCACTTTTACACTAGCATCACTCTTATAGTAAAATTGTAGGAGCAAGCAAAAATAAAGGGATGTTTTATAGATAATGAAAAATCTACACTTCTATACCAAACAATTTTTTGATGCATAAATGCATGTCATTTTTTGATGTTTTTTGATATTCCTTCAATAATCTAGTTCAGGAGCGTTTATTTAGGGGTATTTAGCCTGTGTACAGCCAATTCCCACCCTTCTCCCTATAGTCAGGTCTCTTATGGTCTTGATCGTTACAGAACTTACAAAAGCACCAAACTTGGCATAGTTGTAGCTTATGGTAGTACTATCAATGTTAGAGGGGGAGCTCAACGTAAATTGTCCTTTAAGGGGAATTACGGAGGATTTACTTTTTCAAATTTCACGAATTGGGCTCCCTGTGGTTCTTATTTTAAATATATTCATTAAATATGTAAAAACCTTTTGAATAAGTTTTAAAACAGCTATCTACCCATTAGAATGCATTATCTGTCATGGCTATCGATTACAACCCCAAATCTTAACAAAAAAGCTACTTTTCGGCATCTCTTTCAAACACTAGTGGCCAGTCCCACTCGGTCATTAGCTAAATCCAAGATGGCGGCCCAGACTTACCTACAAAACCTGTAAGTATTTTGCTCTTAAAAGGCCGTAATCTTGCTATTTTTATATTGCAATATATATAAAAGTTTGGTTTAACAGGTTTTCTTTGAATTTCAAGTTGTTTTTCGAATTAATTAGCTAAAATTAATCGAAAATATAACCATTTCAGAATCGGAAATGGAAATATTTTGGAATCGATGCATCATATGCCAAACAACTACAACAGAAGATTTAAGATGTCCTCTTAGAGCATCTGGTTCCTGTTATGAACCTGCATCAGTCTATGCCTCTTTTCTTCAGAATGTTCTCGAGTTTAGCTCACTAGGTGCCCTGCCAGTCAATGTTCCCTTCGCTCTTGATATAGACACTGAAGTTTTAATTAAAAACGAGGCGTCTTGGCACAAGTCTTGCTATTTGAAATTCAATTTGTCGAAGCTACAAAAAGCCAAAGAAAGAGTATCTAGGAAAAGGAAGAAAGAAGAAGACCACCCAGAAGAGGAGAAAGCCCCTGCATTAAAGAATCGACGACAATCAGTAACACACAATAAGGTGGACTGCGGTAAGGGGGGACAGCTACATGAGGTCACAACTTTTTCGACTGACCAGAATATCTGTCGCATGATTACTGAAATAAACGATGCTACGCTAATGCCAAAGATCTCGGGAGTTGATCTCATAGCTGCTGAGGCCAAATATYACCTTAAATGTTTGACTGATCTAAGAAATCGGTATAGAAGTCATCTCACTAGAAAACGGCAAGAATCTTGTGAAGAAGAGGATGAGAGGATTATGGAATCTCAAGCATYCATTGAGTTGGTTGAGTATATTGAGATTTCTGTTAAGGAAAACAAGCTTCTTTTTATGCTATCTGAATTGCATGCACGTTATATAAGTCGTCTTGAAGCTTTGGGCGTTTATAAGACTGTAAATAAGACTCGACTGAAGAATTCATTGTTAGATCAGTTTCATGATGCACAAGAGCAAAATGATGGAAAAAATGTTGTCRTAGTTTTCACGAAAGCATTAAAGGGCATGGTTAAAGATGCAATCAAGACTAAAAGGGACTTCTCCGAGGACGCCACGATACTGGCCAAGGCTTCCGCAATTGTAAGAAGAGACATACTTGAGCATAAAGGATTCAACTTTTCTGGAAGTTTTACTTCAGATTGTCAAGAAATGTCCACCCCAGCAAGTCTAAAGTCGCTAATTTCTATGATCCTGAGTGGTTTGGACATTGAGAACACTGAAGCTCAAGATTCCCAGCCACGCAATTTGACTGCAGCGTTCTAGACGGAGCTGTCGTGGTCCACTGCCTTCCCGTAACTGGTTCGATCACCTTTGATGATTACGCCCATAAAGTCTTCATCCCCCACCTAAGCAGCCAGAGAAGTAGAAGAGTGGACGTTGTCTGGGACACATACATACCTAATAGTCTCAAGGAGTCCACCAGGGAGAAGAGAGGCAAAGGCGTTCGACGGAAAGTAGCTGGGTATACTAAACTACCATCCAACTGGTTGTCTTTCCTGCGTGACCCGTTAAACAAACAAGAGTTGTTTCAGTTCCTATCGTTGAAGGTTGCTGGACATAACTGGCCAGAAACGAAGACAATCCACGTTACATCAGGTAACATGCAACACATATGTCAGCTATGATACTCAAACAAAATATGCTGTATGTGTAATACAAAAAAGGAAATTAACTAACAAATCTTTCGGCTAAGCGACCCCCCCTCAGTGTTCTACTAAGACATATTGAAAAGTGGTAACAATCATGCTAATGTGTATAACCTATGTTGGAATCACACAAAAAAYGTTAACTACCGAAATGATTTTTCTCCAGGTACTTCCGTGATTTCCATTGGCTCTGTAACCGCTATGACAGATTGTACTCACGAGGAGGCAGATACGAGGGTTGTGGTCCATATCCTTCACGCCATCCAAGTTGAAGAGGTGAAAACTGTCCTCGTCCGAACCGTGGATACCGATGTCCTACTCATCTTGGTGGGAAAATTTCATGACCTGAGAGAAGTCCAGCCGGAACTTGATCTGTGGCTTGCCTTTGGTATGGGTCGAAACTTTCGCTTCGTCAGCGTCAACTCTATTTGTGCTGTACTTGGTAAACCACGATCTACTTCCCTGCCTGTATTCCACGCATTAACTGGATGCGATACCACCTCCTGCTTCTTTGGGAAAGGGAAGAAGTCAGCCTGGCAGGCATGGGAGATATTTCCAGAAGTCACGCCCACATTCGAAATGCTTGCCAAAACGCCATTTATGCAGCTTACGACAGACTCGCCCCTCTTCAAACAGATCGAGAGATACACGGTAATCCTGTACRATAAGCWCAGTYCCTTATCCGACATCAACCTAACCCGGATGGAGCTATTCTGCAAGAACAGCAGAGCAATGGACAAGCTCCCGCCTACACAGGTAAATATTACTTTTTTCTTTATCACACTTTGTCTACAATTCACTTATGAGAGGAAGAGTCAGGGRGCCAGGACGCTAACAGGACACATACTCGCAATGACAAGTTTGAACTAACCCGCTGCACCCTCTTTCCATGAAACTAGGATCAATCTCTTTCTAAATAATCCTTAATAACATCGACACTGTTGTTATTTGCAGGATGCCCTTTTGCAGCATGTCCGGTGCACCGTTTACCAGGCCGGTATCTGGACAGTTAGCAATCAGCCACAGCCACCTGTGCCATCACCAGGGCAGTTCTCGTGGTTTGAAGTTGATGGCAAATGGGTTCCGAAATGGATCACTATTCCCGAAGTATCCAAGGCTTGTAGTGAACTGATTAAGTGCTCTTGCAAACGTGCCTGTACAAGATGCAAGTGTGCCAAGGCTTCTTTGGGATGTACCCCCCTTTGTAGATGCCAATGCTAACAAAGTAATTGCATCAAGCTTAAATGACAATCTGAAGAGTTTCRGCGATCGAACATTGTTTCCGTTATGTAGCCCTAACTTAATTCTAATAATATAGTTATCTCTTGTCGTTTCTATTAGCGCTATTTAAAAGTACATTTGTTTCGCGAACATATGTCGATCTAACAGCAGTAATTTAGGTTCAAAATGCGAATTTGAGAAAGGGAACGTGAATTGCAATAAGCTTTGGCGAGAAGGGACTGGGAACTAGTATATATCCAAAAACCTTATGTAATGTATATGCGAAGAAATATCCAAAAGCCTTATGTAATGTATATGCGAAGAAATATCCAAAAGCCTTATGTAATGTATATGCGAAGAAATGAGTAAGCATAATAGTTTCAGTCAATAAATGTCACTACTGGCATTTCTTGTGAGCTGTTTTACTTGAAAACTGCAAACCACCACAGGTAGCCCAATTCGTAATTAAGGTAAATTTTAAAAACCCYTTAATCCCCCTTAATTGTGAGAATTGCGTTGGGCTCCCCCTCTAACATTATTTAGTGGATCCTAAGGAACATCTCTGCCAAATTTGGCGCTTTTGTCACTTATGTAACGATGGSACCTATATTTTGCCATAAGAGACCTGACTACTACGGGTAAAAACCATCCGATGCTTTTTCTTCTTAGGGGGAGGGGTGGTATTTCACTACAATCTAGCATGCCATGCCAATGACAATCATTGTTATTGTAATCCATTCTGCATCTCAAGACTTGTGAAAAACGAATATATTTTAAAATGTAATTAATAAACGTTTTAAAAATAATGATTTTCAGCCTTTATTTTATTGGAAACATTATCCTCTCCGCGGATGCCTACCCCATATTAATATGACACCACTCCTAGTGGGTACCCTGTGTTCTCACGCCAACTTTCAATCGATCTTTACTCAGTTCGTACTCTGGGTTAGCAAAGGTGAGTTATGTTTTGGTACATGCATGTAACGCGAGAAGGATATAAGATCTATGATCGGTGAACACTGTCTTCGTTTTCAAGGTTTTATTTACAAATTCGATCGTTACGTAAGTGATCAAGTCTGTACTTGCGAAAACAACAACAAAGAAGCCATTGATGTGCAACAAGCGCTGAATTATGTCACGTATCTATTTTGTTTTCGTTTGATTTCTGCAAAAATATAAAAAGCCCAAGAAGCAATGTCCTCTCATTAGTGCCCTGTTTGGGAATTTTTCGAAAAAGCAATACTACTGCACTCATGGTTGTATGCAAACGAACCAGGGAGATGTAAATAACGAACCGATTCTTAATAATAAAATTTGTACTGTACTTTAGTTCAGATTATTAATCTAGGACGCACCTTCATGTGTACTAAAGATCCTTAATTTTTCGTCGATCTCGTAGCTTTGATGTCCTTTAAAGGTTTCAAAATTTGAGAAATATCAATTTATTTTATTGAACCCTCTAAATATTTTCCAATGCCCCAAAATACTGTGAACCATATTTTCTGAAAGCCTTAAATTCAACATTTTCTTCTGGAGTCGTAGTGCTAGTGCTCTCATTTCTCACCTCTGGGGTCTTTGGTTTAATTTTTATAAACAGACTCACTGTCGCTTGTAACATAGTTGGCCTGGGGGGGGGCCTCCCACATATAAAAAGGCAGAGATTCTCATTGTACCCTTTATGGTTCCAGATCTGCAATTTAGTACCTCTTAGGATGGTACAAATCTAAAAGGACCTCCAGAGAATAACCTGGTACCTCTTTTGTCACTTAGCACTCATAAATAATTTGGTACCTATTAGTTGCCATGCCCACCTGGATAAGACTTAGGTTTCTTTTAAAAGGGTCATTTTCATAATTTTCAAAGGCATCCTCACCCTCCTTTTCAGGTCGGAGTGCCCCCCCCCCCCCCCCCAGCTAGTAAGTAGAGGGAGATCAGTCCCCTCTACTAACTATGCCTGTAAGTAGTGTTAGGGTCTCTCCCAAGTTGATTCTTCAGGTATTTCCAATTTTCCTCCCTCTCCAAAACCCAGCATGCTAAATTYGAATTTGATCCGCAAGTTAGAAATTGTGTTTACCTGTATTTTCAGATGGCAGAGAAAAACAACTCAAAGCCCCCACCATCCCCACCCCCAGGGTTTAGAAAGGTGAAAAGAGAGTACTGGGAAGGTGTTGATCCACACAAGAAGAGACCAGCTATTAACAAGCACACTGGTGTTTTTGCCTATCATGCTAATGACTGTATGTGCAGCATGGCTGGTTGGCCATGTTACAGAAAYGGTGCGATATGGAGCTGTTGTGGACAGACAGAAAAGTACTGCAAGTGTACAGGAAAAAAGTGACAGGATCTAAAGCACTGACTGATCAAAAATATAAAAATCTTCACAAAATCCATAAACCACTGGCCAGCACTAAATGTTTGGTATAAGGTTCACCAATAGATTCATAGGAAAACTTTCATTTATACTGTGGTTTTGTGTTGGTCCTGGCTAATTTATACACTAGCATCAAATTTTGGGACACTATTCACTCAAACACTTTCTTATTCTTGATTGCACGTTACATCATCATGGCTTCTCAGGAAATTGTTGGTGCCATTAACATAAGATTTTTTTTAGCATCCATTGTTAATGGGACCACAATGGCCGCCATGGTTTTGTCTTTTAACTCTTTTGGAAATGCTTGCAAGCCATCAATAGTAAAATTGCAGGAGCAAACAAAACAGTTTTTTAATGCAGAAATACATGTAATTTTTTTGATGTTTTTTCTTCAATATTTCTTCAATGGCCTAGTTCAGGAGCACTTTTCTAAATTTGCAAAACAATTTTATTAATAAAAGATACGGCTTTTTCTGAATAAATAAAGGAGTAAACTATGAATTCTCATAGACACTCTTTAGTCAGCAAGGATCAAGTTAGTTATACCTTGATTACCACTGTTTTCATTGCTATGTGCTGATTGAGACAAAAGTTGCACTGTGAATAAGTAACAATAATTGATAGATGAGCTTCAATCAAATAAATCTATTGCCCATTGACCCGTCACAGTGATTAAAGTCAATGCTTATTTATATGCAATTATCTATTTAATCAGTAAGTTTATTTTACTAAATTCCAATTACACCTTTTTTAAACCCAAGATAATTTGAAGATTCTGTCTTTTCCAATTTAGACCGTTTAACATTCCTTGAGTATTTCAGACCTCGTGTGTCATAAGTATACTACCTTACGACACATGGTCTGAAATGGGAACATTCTGATCAATCACATGATCACTATTGTTTATTGTAACAAACTGTCATGCCTGTCATTACTTTTCATTCTGGTAATGTCATTTATTTATATATATGTTTTTTAATATTTCAACAATATTTATTCAGGGATGTCTCTAGTAGCAGAGCTAGTAAAGAGAGCCCTGTTTATATACTACTACATGTTACTTTTATTATCAGTCAAGATCCTTCTCGTTTAGTTCTTCCTTCTTTAGCAATCTTATCATGACTTATTGAGGTAAATGCCATTACTATACGAAGCACTCCCATTACTGTTACCTAGGAAAAACACAAGAATTACTGAATTATCATGAGTTTGTAATAACCATAGTATAACCATTGCCTGGTAACCATTACTGATACAATGGTGGTGAAGTGTTAAAACCTTGGCCTTGAAAATCTAGTCTATTGTGGAATAAAAACAATACATAATTTCAGCTCTGGATAGTGGAACCACTCAGCCAAATATCTACCTGTGTAATCAGTTCCATCCAGGAAGAAGGAGGTGCTGCTCCTGAGGTAACAGCATTAAGTGCCCATCCATCCAAACCACAGGATATTAGAAACTTCCTTGACTAAAACAATACAAGATTATTGATCAATAGACAACTTGCACYAACAGGCCACCTGACCCTACCTCCCTTAAAATGAGCAGTTATGTGAAAACGAACAATCATTAGGAATAAAAAGAGTAGCTTGACAACATTGAGGGTGAAGTTTTAGCTCATAATGTTGACTCTAGGAGAAATAGTAATAAYTATAGAATCAAACATTTCATAGCCATCCACTGCATTTCCCCATTCAAATCCTTATAAAACATTGAAATTTATTTTGAATGTCATTTCTCCTTTTTTGCTTGTTATGAGCTAAAACTCGGCCATCCTACTAATGTTGAGGTGCTCTTTTCATTTCTGATCTTAATTTTGACACAGCTGTTTATTTTAAGGGAAATGAGGTCATGTGACTTGTAAGTGCAAGTCTTCTATTAACAAGAAACAAGAAAACATGTGCAGTTCCAAGCAACCAACCTCAACTCCAGAAATGATATTTTTTGCAACACTTTCAGGGCTAAATAAGCCACCAGAACTACAGATCAATTTGGTTTCCTCTGGCTGCAAAGAGTAAACAATGTTAACAAAAAATAGTAAAGAAGAGAGGGTCATATATTTATCTCTTTTGATTTTACTCTTGTCAATGATGTTCTTTTTCAAGAATAATCATTGTATGGTGCAATGATGTGATGATGATGAAATGATGATGTTGATGATAATGCTGTTGGTGCAGGTGATAGTGGYGATGCATATGTTTATGTATCTGATTGAGCTGATCTGTGCAGAATATCAAGCAACTTATGCAGCAACTTATGGTGTTTATATTGCTACTGTATGCTGGTGATGATGGCGAATGATGATGTGATGGTAATGACACTGATAACACTGTTGCTGTTGTTGCAGATAATGTAGGTGATATTGTTGATAATGGTGTTGATATTGCTATGCTGGTGGTGAATGATGATGTGATGATGATTCTTGTGCAGTCTAGGTTTCTGATTGGCTCCACTACCCAAAGTCGGAATGTATTRTTTTCATTCTACATTTTAATTGGTTCTCTTGCCTAACTGTCTAAATGGCCCCGATTACGGTAGTTGCACTGTAATCACTAAGTCTACCATCTATAACACACTTTCAGACTCACCTTCAGCTTATTTTCATTCTCAAATCCTGGAGTATCTGTATCTGGTGGAAATACCACAGAGACTCCAATATTATAAGGCTTTACCTAAACACAAGGGAGACACTTAGTATTAATTAATTGTAAATTAAGGTACTTTTCAAACAGCATAAGATGATGTTTTTAGGTATTTCTTTACCTCCATGAACAAGCTTTCTGCAAAGCCACGGACTGCAAATTTAGATGCTGAATATGCAGTAAGGCCAAAGATTCCAAGCTAAAATAACAATAAAATTAGATCAGGGATAAAGTCACATGAGAAGACAAAGAAAAACCATTGAATGATATTGAAAGTGCCCTTCTGACAATATTCTCRGTATTGATTCTACATGGGGTAAGATGTTGAATGACCTCAAAACATTCATAGCTTGAGCGTGGTTTCTTAACTTATAAAGATTTTTTCATGCCATATGCTAATGACTGTGACRTATTAGGAGTAATCATTTCATATACAAAACATTACTGGCATAGATAAATTGAATTCGAAATACAGTTATTGTTATAACTATTGCTCTTACAGAAATTATTGCAAGTTAATTTTCACATGGTAGCCAGTGGTTCAAATTACAATGAACAACAAATAAACATAAATGACTTCTCATACGTCACAGCATTAGCATATAGTTTTGGAACCTTTATAACCTTTATAAAACCTTTTTATAAACCTTTATAACTACAAGAAGCCTCACTCAAACTATGAAACTTTTTGACTTCCCCATGCGACAGCTTAATACCCCATGTAGAATCAATAATGAGAATATTGTCAGATTGGGTTATAGGCACTTGAAGGAAAGGCTGACTGGCATACCTGTCCTCCCATAGAGGAGACAAACACTATGTGGCCTTGTTTTCTTTGCTTCATGTTCTTTATTGTGACATAGGTAGGATAAACACTTCCAAAATAGTTTGTATTCATCATGTTCTATTCATAAAATATAAGACCATCCATCAAGGAAAGAGTCAGTCAATTAACCAGTCTGATCAGTTATTCATTCTTTTATTTGTACATTAAATTTTGTTCATTTGTTTATTGGTTATTTGTTCATTCACTCATTTATTCATTTTTCATTCATACAATCAAATGGTTACATTCACCTGTTAATCTTTTTATTTCAAAAAAAATCATCATTCATTTGCTTACTGTCCACAACGATCCACTCACTCAAATACGATATTTATGCATGTCCAAATATTAATCTACTCTACTCTAAGAAAGAATAGAAAGCCAAGTATTTCACAAATACCTTAAAGTCTTCAATATTTGTTTCCTCAAAGACCCCACAGGTTGCATACCCAGCACAGTTAAACAGAACATCCACTGGACCAAAAGTACTATACACCTTGAAAACAAGGAAACAAAAGTATATTTCTGCTAAATAGGTGTACATACTTTGATAAGATGGTTTAAGGCAAAGGCCAAGTGCCATTTTAAATGCTAGAAATACCTATGCGCATTGTTTAGTTTTGAATTATTATTGTATTGCATTAAAGTAACTTGTAATTAATGTAGTGTTTATTTACTTTGTAATTATATTTATTTCATACAGCTGTGGCGGATCCWGGACTTTAAGAGGGGGGGTTCATTTTTGCAAATCTCAGCACAACAATAACGTTCTCTTGCATCATCATTTTTCCCATGAGGCACATCACTGGCCTAGGGGCGCTCCTGATAAGGATAACCTATCCACCAGTCCCATTTCATATTAAATCTCATAAGTTAGTACCATACTTTTATTTATTTATTTTAAAAAATATAAAAAATCCAAGGTACCAGCCGCTGGGGGGATTCATTTGCACCCAATGAACCCCCCCTAAATCCGCCACAGTACAGGACTCTATCTAAACTAGCCTGTGCTAAATTAGATGTTCCTGTTAAAATAATGAATAAAATAAATGAATAAAATATGAATAAAATGGCAAAGCATGAATAAAATATGAATAGAATGGCAAAGCATTTTCCCCTCCACCCTCCCCCCCCAAAAAAGAAATAATTGTTAAATCAATTGATAACTGAAACATTAGCTAGAAGTGCAGAAGTTAATTATTAAAGTAAAATTATATTATTGCATAATTAGAAACTGCATCAACTTAATTATTCTATTTTCTAACAAGTTTTGACCCACCTCGTCAAATGCTTTCTCCACTTGTTTTATATCACTACTAAGATCCACAGAAAATGTTTGCACCTAGAATCCAAGTGAATAGACATTTTTAGCTTCATTTCAGATCACATGACATTCCCTTGACAACTGTTCTTTTATCGTTAACATGTTAAAGATATTTACACATGAAAGAATCAACTCCCAAGAGTGACATCACATGGTATGGAATGTGCACAACAAACAACAAATCTAACAAGTTTTGTAAAATAACTATTATAAATCTCGAGTTCTGATTGGTTGGGAGTGTGTGCTTTATGAGAGTACACAACACGCACGCACACTTTCAGTTGTATCATTCCTATCCAAAAAAAAAGGTTATGAAAATTTGTATTTTACAAAAGAAATAAAAAACTTGCTTGCTGTGCTATGTGGAGTTTTAAAGCAGGACCCTCGAGAAGTGTTGAGAAGCACTCCACTACGCCTTGTGCTTCTCCTGACACTACTCTCATGTTCTGCCAACCCTGCGTGCTTTATGACTACTGCACACAGCATGTGCGCACCTTTTTTATTTCTTCACTATTAAATTTTTTGCAATACATAACTTTGAAGTACGAAGCTGATAATGTCTAATAAGAAATCAATGTATGTATCACCTACCTTTCTACCTTCTAGCAAATGCTTTTCTATTTCTGCTTTGGCTTTTGCTAACCTTTCCTGAGAGAAACATAATCGGATTAACCATCATCCAGGTCTGTAGCCACTATGAGGCAAGGGAAGCAGTTGCCTCGGTWAAATGTTACAAATGCCCTTCAAAACATTAAAAATCCCATTTCTGGGGTTGTCAATTTCAAACCTTTTTCCAGGGGTGCGTGTCCCCAACCCCCCTATTTGCTACCGCCTCTGCTGCTTGTTTGCCTTGGTAAACATACAGGTCCTGCTACGGCCCTGTCACCATAACCCAAAACTAAGAGCTTTTATTGTTTACACTTGTGGGCATTAAGTAGTGTGGAGACTCTCCGCTCAAACRATTTAATAATCTATTGATGCCATTTCAAGTAAACCCAAGGAAAAAAGGTTAGAGAAGGAGAGGACTGAGAGAAAAGAAGGAAGATACTGTGGAGAATGAGAAGGAAAGGAGAAAAGGCAGGAAGGTAGGGAGGGATGAATGAAAGAAGGAAGAGAAAGAGGAAGGGACAGGCTTAAGGAGATCATGGAGGAAGAGAAGAAATGAAGGAAGGAAAGAATATATAAAACTATGCCGACAAAATCGTCAAAAGCTATAAATATTCTAGAAAGATAGTAGCTTACACTATATATGGTAGGAAGCAGAAAGACGAGTATCTTACCTCATTACGTGCTAGGAGTGTTATATTTGCACCGACTTTGGCAAGTTCAATGGCCAGTGCCTTACCTATACCGCTAGATCCTCCTGTAATCTATAATTATTGTTTATTAATGAAATATCTTCAATAAAGCTTGAAAAATGTTCTTTTGCTTGAAGGGCAACTTGTCAGGCTACACGACATTTTCAATTTATATTTTGCCGAATTAACCTTTCAAATTTAAACAACAAGAGTCGTAACTAAGCCTTACCACTGTATGTTTTCCATTGAAATTGGTTGACTTCCTATTAAACAGGTCAAGGGCATAAATTAAAGTCAAAAAAGAAGCTATTCCTATCAATACTTCAAGAAACATGGCGTCACCGAATGATATCTCTTGATGAATGGGCTACCTGGGTTAACTTTACCACAGGGAACCCAAATTTTTACGAAGGCTCTCCAGGGAAATTTAAAAATACCAGTTTTTTATAGATAATTAAGTGAAGCCATACCAGTTTTTATTTAGTTTCTCTTTAACACAGTTTATAGTTAACTCTTATACCTGTGCATTTACAGTCCCCTTAAAACATTTCTATTTTGGTTCCATAAAAAACACAAATGAATAAATAAACAAATAATATAAAAAAGGAAGTAGGTAAAAAAAAGTTTCAGACCAAGACAGAAGATTAGGAGTAAGCAAAAAATTGGTTATCATTAATAGATATATTAATAATTTATGATGATGAAAACTCTCTAATCACAATATGTTTTGGAGAGGTCTTCATTTTAAAATATGATGATGATGGTGACGCATGATGATGATCGATGATAATGACGCTTGTCCAATATTTTCACATACTGTAAAATACTAGTTAAAAGCACTGGGCTTACTCATTAATAATGGATTTTTGATAATGGTCCTTTGTTACTAATGATTTTGTACACTAAGTACACTAATATAAAGTTTTGAAAAAAATTTTTGATTGATTATTGATTTTCAAATATAACATTTTAACTTTTGTTTTTAATTGGAATTTCCCCTTCAGTATCAAGAAAATCACTTGCAATGGACCCTTTCTTTACAAATATTGTTATGCCAGATTTATATGCTGCAGGAATAACAACATGTGATGTGGTCATGCCATCATCTTTCAGCTTATTTCCATATAAAATTTTAAGCATTTCTTCTTTGATTATCATTTCAAYCTGCTGCACCACTTGTAGCCTTGCCCAGTCATTAGTCTCAATAGGTGTCTCATCCATGTTCACATGCCATCTTTCTAATACATCGCTCCTTCTTATTAATAGCACTGACTCACTGCTTAATTGAGTCATAAGTTCTTTTTCTGGTATAATTAGACAAGGGTTTGCTGCATGAATTCCATCCTCACTTACACCCCAAATCATTTGATGATGCCATGCATCAGGGATTGTCCCATCAGGGTACGGCACCTTTTGACAATTCAGTGTCGCCACAGGGATCCCACCTCTAAGTAGCCATGTCTTTAACCATAAACAAATATCAACATCTCGTTCTGGATAGAAATKAAAAAATCGTCCAGTAATGTTGCCGTTACTTATTTCTTTGATGCCGTCAATGATGTCAGTGTGTGTTGTACCAGCTACACTTCTTGATAAGAGATATTTGGGCAAAGGTGCTTCCAGATCCTTAAGCGTGTACGAACAGCTTTGACAACATCTGGAACCTCAGCTGTTATACCTAGAACTCCCTGAAATCAAATAGAAAATAACATTAAGCTTAATATTATGATGATTAATAAAATTATCAAATTTTTGTCAAATAATTATTTTTTTCTTACCAAAACATTTAGGGCGGCTGTAGCCCCACAAGCTGATACCCCGACTTGCTCTATTTGTTTTAAAGCCGCTTCCTCTTCGCTCCATAGCATAACTCTAGAAGGAATATCTTCGATTTTCCTCGATATTTGCCCCGAAGTGCTCGCGACGTCCGCCATTTTGTAAAGCCATTCAAATGCACCACAGGATCCCCAATATCTAAAGCTGGGTTACCTGTGGATGCACGTGCATATTCCAAAATGGAGGTGAAGAAGATCTAACGAAAATGGGTACCTCGTAAAAAAAATTAAATTTACAATGCTGCGAATAACTACAAGAAATGTGCCTAAGTGCATTTACAAGTACCAAGCTCAATCTATATTAAAAGGACAAATCAGGACGATCTCGAAGTGGATATCGGATCTAAAAGCATTGCTTCCCAAAGATCCCAAAATTCGACAAGTCGGAGATCCGATGCTCCGCGAGGCTGCAGAACCCGTGGATCTTAGCTTTATTCATTCTCCAGATCTTAAAGCGATGGTCGAACGGATGATTAAAAAAATGCGCAGCCACAATGGAGCCGGAATAGCTGCGCCACAGATTGGAGTCGGTCTACAAGTGATTGCTATGGAATACACAGGAAAACACATAAAAAAACTCAAGGACGATGGCTTTTCTGATAAAGAACTTAGGCGAATGGGTATCGCATTAGTGCCCCTCAAGGTTTTTATTAACCCACGGCTGAAGATCATCGATCCTTTGATGCTGGCCTTTAGAGAGGGGTGCTTAAGTGTAGAGGGGTACAGTGCTCTTGTCCCAAGGGCAAAGGAGGTTGAGGTGTCTGCTTTGGACTTGTCAGGCAGCCCTGTGACGTGGAGAGCGGCCGGGTGGCCTGCTAGGATACTCCAACATGAAGTTGAACACTTGAAAGGGAATCTGTTTATAGATTCGATGTTGTTCAAGACATTTATGAATGACAAATGGACCAAATATATGGAATAGCTGATGTAAATATCATTGCTACACTTAGGCCTTTTTACAGAATAAATCAAACTCTATAATAGCCAGGCAGGTAGTGTTTAGTGCTGACTTGCAATAAGCTGAATTTCTGGTTGTTGTCTGGGTAAACCAAAGAGATGAATCAGTAACACTATTGCCTCACCTCTGTAAGTTAGCTAGCTGTGTCCTAACTTTAATCAGCTCAGAGGTAGTTACTGCATTCACTATCTGGTTTGTTAGCCATTTAGCCWCACACAAACATTTGCTAAAATCAACTTCTGTTTAGTGCCATAACTATTATTTGTTGTGATACTTTTCATAAATTTTAGACCTCTTTACTTTGGATGTAATGTTTCCATTTCAAACCATGTGTCATTCCCTTGAGTAAAATTTCTTTTCTCAACAGTTGTGCATGAGAATACTCATTAATATGGATACCAGTGAAACAAATAATCTTAAARAATAAAACCTGGTCTGAAATGTGAAAACATTGAGGCCAATGTAAGGAGGTCTAATATTTTATATAATTAAGTCCTAATAGTCCAGTTTCAAATCCCAAATTACTGCTGTGTTCCTCAATTACAGTCTCGTTTGCACAAGGTTAGCCTTGTATCAGTTTTTAAATATTAACAAATACCAACCGTAAAGGAAAGAATGCACAACTTTGAAACTTAATGGACCTTGTCTAGAACACATGAATATTCTGCACAAAATTGAGGCTGACCTAGCCCCCTTTATAAGAGACTGACACGAATAACATCTGTAAAGGAGGCTAAGGCTATAACCCTGTGTAAGTGAGTCTGTAATCAAGAAACACAATGGTAATATTTGGAACTCCTAACTGGTCTATTCTAAACAAACAAAGTTATCCCACCCCCCAAAATAATCCCCATTGTTAAAAGTCACTCTAAAAATCCTATGAATGGGTAATGAGTATGAGCACAAGGATTTTTAGCAACGTAGACCATAGGCAGCCCAAGCAGTGCTTTTCTCATCTAAGGTAAAAAAAAAACAACGATTTACATAACGATTAATTTTTTTTTGTGCCTGCATAAAATGTCTAATTCGTTAAAACTGATTAACCGGCAACAATTGTAAATGACTAATAGCTAAATAAAAATAYTAGCTGTAAAAAATAATAAAAGTATGACGTAGTATGACGTAATATTTGCTATTTTTAGCCGTTTACGCATTCCTCTTGATCAGCGGATATACCCAAACGATTTACTTTTCGCAACGGCAGCCATCTTGGTTCTTCGAATTAAGTTTTATTTTTCACTCGCATTATCCACTGTTATCCATGGCCGGGGGAACATTACAGGTAATAACAACACTTTTTGGTCATTCCTTAAGCTCTGGGCTGAAATCGATGGGATTTTAGAGAGAAAAAGACGTCGAAATGTTGTACTAAACAGATGCTGTGTGAAGACAAAGTATTGACATATTTTTGAAAACCTATTTGCTATTTGTTTGCAGAAAGCTATTGAAATAGTTACGAAAGCAACGGAGGAAGACAAAGCAGGGAATTATGAAGAAGCCTTAAGACTCTATGAACATGGCGTTGAATATTTCCTTCATGCTATAAAATGTAAGGCAATATACGAAAATCAAAATGGATTCTTTTGAATTTGAGCTTGGTTGAAATTACTTCCTGTCTTACAGTGTAGAGCGATTTTTGATATACATTTTTATTATTTTATAAGATAAATTCAAATTTTCTGTAAGAATATACATCTCATTTTGAAATTTCTCGATTGAGAAATTTCGGATGTAAGCTTATTAAATGCATATGCTGAATGATTGGTTCAAATTTATTTATTTATGGAACCTTATTTTCCTGACTATATTTATATTACCAAATTCATAAAACTCTGGTTTTACCATTCCTTTGTATTAGCTTTGCTGTAATATGTTGGGGTCTTGGAAATTTGAAATAAATTTACTGTAGTTTTCAATATTCTGCAAACTCAGATATTTCTAAGTCTTGAAACTGTTTTTTACTGCAGCCAGTCAACAACATAAGAGGTACCCACTGATTGTTTTTGATTGGCAGCAGTGAAAAACCAAATTTCAGGATGCAGATCGTAACTACCAAGTTTGCAGAATATCAAAAACTGCAGTATCAAATTTCCGATGGTTTAGCTTGGTATGATGTCTCAACCGTTGGTCAAAATGTTATGTACTCATGAGGTGTTGCTGAGTGGGTACATAATTAATTTTGACAAACTGTTGAAGTCATATCGTGGTTGATGAGAGAACATACCACAAAAAAAAAACAGTGGAAATTTGTTTTTTACTAACAAAAAACTCGCAAAAAGTTTGAAAGAAAAACAGTTTCTATGCCTGGTTAGCTCTAACCAGACATATATACATAACATTTATGCAGTTATATTAAACCTGTTATGAATTATGACCCTATTTACATTTGGTTAATTGTCTCACACAGATGAAGCCCAAGGTGAAAAGTCCAAAGAGAGCATTCGTGCAAAGTGTATTCAGTACTTAGACAGAGCAGAAAAACTGAAACAATATGTCAGGGGCAAGGATAAAAAGAAACCTGTGGCTACTGGAAGTGGGTCAGGCAATAAAAGGTAAGAATTAAGTGAAGAATGATCAGTCTGTTTGGTTGATAGTGTTATATTTATAGAGTATAAAGCTGACCCATTTGCCTTTCTTGGTACAATGCTTACTCTGTTCAGACCATATATTATTCCCAAGAGTATCATTTTTTAACAGATGTGAATGAGAAGTTCTGAATGGAAGAAACGGTTATCATAATAATATATGTTTTTTCTTGCATTATTAATAGCAACAAATCGGGCAAYGATAGCAGTGGTGATGAAGATGATAATGTAGAAAACAAGAAGCTAAAAGGACAACTTAGCAGTAAGAGAACCATTAGTTTGGATTATTTCCTACCAAATTTAAGTATTGACTTTTCATGTGATTTAGTGTCTTTACGTCACATAACCCACTATTAACCAATACTAAATTATTCTTGGATCTTAAAATGATTAATCTCCCATTATATATTGCCTATCATATTTAACTCTGACAGCCGTCTTTGAAATAAGTATATACAGTGTAAAGTAAAACATTTTACTAAATTATATGTAGTTCTTAATAAAGTCATTTCTTAAATATAACTCAGGTGCCATCGTGGTGGAAAAACCAAATGTCCAGTGGTTGGACGTTGCTGGTTTGGAATCAGCTAAAGAAGCATTAAAAGAAGCTGTCATTCTACCCATCAAATTTCCTCACCTTTTTACAGGAAAAAGAAAACCTTGGAGGGGAATCCTTCTCTATGGAGTAAGGGACATTTTTGATTCATTGGGTTCTCAGTGGCTTTCACTTCTGTTGAACCATTGAAAAGGACTGGATATGAATTTGAAAGAGGGGGGTTTGATTGGCTCAAGATATTATCACTTTTACTGGGGTTTTCCATATTCTGCTCACTTGAACATTCCAACAGCTCGTTTTGAACTGATTAATTTCGATTGATGGCCGCAGAGAAAAAAAAAAAGTGTGCGCTTGTAACTCTAAACCAAGTTTGCTGAATATTGAAAACGCAGTAAAGGAAGGATAGATTAGGAAAAGAGGTACAGTGTACAACTCATAACAGGTTGCCATATCCAACACAACTTCCCATACAAATTTTAAATTAAAGATTCAATGATATATTTAATGCTACATCTACTATRATCAACATTACGAGCTTTACAAACTCTGCATCATTACTAGTACTAACTAAAATTTCATTGGAGTTGTTTACCTTCATGCAAGATGTACATGTACGGTCATTGGGCCATATTTTGGTTAATTGTTATAGCAAACAACAAGGGGTAGGGCTGTAGCAACCTTTACACCTTGGTAAAAGTGTGCAGATCTTGTATGTRGGCCCCTTACAGCACATCAGAATGCAGCTCAATTTAGAGAACACAACTAAAGGTTTCCAATTCTCATGAGATTGAAATTCTTTTATTTTGTCCTTCAAATTGAGCTGCATTGACGTCACGTTCAAGGGGTCTGTTAGTGACTTGGAGGGATATTTATCAGTCCAGTTCTCTGACTCATCTTTGTTGTTTCAGCCTCCAGGTACTGGTAAGTCATACCTCGCAAAAGCCGTGGCAACAGAAGCTAACAACTCAACATTCATCTCGGTGTCATCGTCAGATCTTGTGTCAAAATGGTTAGGAGAGAGCGAAAGGTAATAAATATATAAACTCTAACTTGTTTATATTAAATTAGTAATCACAAGATGTATAGAACTTTCCGAACTGCTTAACCTTATAAAATGGCAACTCTCTTTTATTCCATTTGACATGAAGATTACAGATTATACTTTTCAAAATGATGTTAATAATTTGGTTGAGTTTTGACAGAACTAATATTGCTTTGCACAGCTATAGCAATATACAACATTGAATTGCATGCTTTTTTGCAAAGGATGCGTATGTTGTCACAATCCTAGCATTTGTTGCAGAGGAATCTACGAGTTTCAGCTCTAGTAATACTTGAATACTGAATGGATAGAACTGGTGTGAAATAATGATAGATGTGTTGATCATCACAGTGAATGAGCGATCTAAGCGAACGCTGTAAAGAAAGACTTGAAAAAATGATTTCATGCTTTAACGGGAATCGAACCGGCATCGCGGAGGTCATGGGTTTTTCAAGTCTTTCTTTACAGCGTTCGCTTAGATTGCTCATTCACTGTGATGATCAACACATCTATCACTAGTAATATTTCTAACCTGTCTCATTTTCTTAGACTTGTCAAGCAGTTATTTGAAATAGCACGTGACAGCAAGCCATCAATCATTTTTATTGATGAAGTGGATTCTCTGTGTGGATCAAGAAGTGATAATGAAAGTGAATCAGCCAGGAGAATAAAAACTGAATTTCTGGTACAAATGGAGGGTAAGATAAGATTATTTGATTTTAAGACTTATACTTATACTTATACTTATTACTGTTGGTGACTTACTGTTGTTTTTTTGTTTGTCTGTCTGTCTGTCAGTCTGTCTGTACATGTCTTTATGTCAGTCTGTTTGTCTGTCTGTCTGTTTGTCTGTCTGTTTGTCTGTCTGTCTGTACATATGTCTTTATGTCAGTTTGTCTGTCTGTATGTTTTTTACATAAACAGTCTGAACCAAAAATGACTATATTATTTTGAAGATTATGATTATGAATTAAAATTATAAATAAATGTCACCTTTACTATGTGTATAGTAAAAGGCACTTGCAATCATTAGAGGTGGTTAGTATGAGATGATGTAGGCACTGAAGGTGGTTAATGATAGGGTTTTTTTTACCTCCTTTTAAATTTCTCCAATTTTGGTTAGTGATGATAAAGTGTGGAGAGACAGGATYGATATTTAAAGTGCTCATCTGAACCACTTAAAAGTCTAACCATTTGCAGATATAATTACAAAGGCAGCAATTTCTCCTCAGTTATTTTAAGACCCTGAGTGTTGAACCAACCAGAGCAGGGTTTTCATTAGGGGCAAAAGATTGGATAATGCTCATTAATCAGTAACTGAGCTTAAAAATGATTTTCTAACTTAAACTGCCATAATCTTCTCCTGTTATTTCAAAACGTTATGAAAAGCCCACAGAGAATTAAATCTGTGACCTCCATGTTTGGTGCTCAACCAACTGAACGAAATATCTCAACATAACTTTTTTTATTTTATTTAAAAGGTGTTGGTGCTGATAATGTTGGAATTCTGGTATTGGGAGCTACTAACATTCCATGGTCGTTAGATGATGCTATAAGAAGAAGGTAACTGTTCTATTGACTGGTCACATCTTAATGTCGCCTGCCATGTCTGGCCATTAAGCAGCCAATATTAACCCTTGCTAGTTCATTTGTTTAATTATAATATATTTAGTAAAAATACGCAGGTGATTATTGAAAATCTCGTGCGCTGATTGGTCGAGAAACTCACACTATCACACGATAATCACCTCCGGCGATAATCCAAAATGGCCTCAGCCTCAGTGATTATCAGAGAATATTTATCTCGCCACTCAAAGACGTGCGTCTCAGTAAATATTCCCCAATATTCACTTCTTGCTGCCCTGTTGAGATTTGTAGCACTCAAGTTAGTTCTCAGCGCAGTCTTGCCATTGATTAACTAAATTGTTAACCTTTTCTTCTAGATTTGAAAAGCGTATCTACATCCCTCTCCCAGAGCAAGCAGCAAGAACTAGAATGTTTGAGCTTCATTTAGGTCCCACAAAGACAAGTCTAACACCTAATGACCTTAAGGAGCTAGGAAAGAAAACAGATGGGTATGTTTGGCTGTCATACCGTGACATATTAACCATATTTAATGCAATTCTCAATATTCAGCAAGCTCGGACATTTTAACGGCTTGTTTTGATGGTTTTTTTACTGCTAAATTAATTGTAAAAAATAGATAAAAGGTACTGACTGATTATTTTTGATTGACAGCAGTGAAAAACCACTCACAACTACTGAGCTTGCAGATTATTAAAAACCACAGTTAAAATATATTATACAAGTTTCTTAAAGTTTACAAAATAAAAGGATCAAAAAAATTCTCACAATTTTTGCTTTTTGTTCTGTTAAGTTATTCTGGTGCTGATATCAGTATTGTGGTACGTGACGCACTCATGCAACCTGTCCGAAAAGTACAACAAGCAACTCATTTCAAAAGGGTATGTCACAATATAAACAATTAATAGAAAACAGGCCTGTAGCCRAGGCTTTGGAAAAGGGGTTCATATATTTGCCATTTTGTGGTTAAAGTAACATTWAAAAAAAGGGGTGTGCCATATTCCAAATTTGCTCTCACTGTATTTTCCAGTTTCATCAGATTGTTGCACCACCAACCTACTATAGTCAAATTGGTGGCCCTGGCTAATATTCTTCATACCAAATGTTTCAGTGGTTGGCCCCTGCTACATTGTAGCTAGCAGAAGACATAGGGTCCAGACATGTAATACAATAAGAGATCACRAAAATATAGTTGATAATTAACTTGTCAATATGTGCCGATGGAGCTGATAGACACAAAATTCCAAAAATTTGTACAAATACATTGTCGGTGACTTCTTACATGCTCTGGTCACTGTCAATCAAAAACCCCATTTAGTGTTTGACTGATATTCATCAGTTCCAAACAGTATCCAAAGACTAGGATTACTTACAGACTTACTTCGGACTCTACTAAGAAGAGTAGCCACAAAAATTGACAGTATCTTCAGTACTACTTTTTTGTGTAAAAGCTCATAATTTTTGTGTTGTGCTCTTAATCTTCAGGACACTAACAGTTTCAATTCTGCAGGTACGCGGGGCAAGTCCTTTGGATCCTAATGTCATTGAAGATGATCTTCTTACTCCATGTTCACCAGGTATATTTATGGAGTCATAGGATCCATGAATTAAATCATTTTTAAGATTGTCATTGTGGGTATCTTCAAGGGTCAAGCCAGCATTTCTAAGAGGCGCGATTATAAATATAATTAGACAATATTAATAAGTGTTACCTGACTCAAAAGGTTTTTTCATATATATTTTTTATCTTGAAAAGGTTACAGTCTGCAACCTAGGGGGATAGGGATGGTAGTTAGCAAACTTTGCCCTGGCTACTTCCCTGGCAGCCTTTATTGAGGAAATCAGAAATGCCCATGCAGCAAAACTAATAAATGAGAATGCAGCTATGCAAGTGTAGGATATGACTAATCTGTGAGTTTACAAGATAAATTGTTTTTCTGAAATTTTCTCAGGTGACCCCAATGCAGTAGAAATGAACTGGATGGATGTTCCTGGTGAAAAACTCTTGGAACCCCCAATAAACATGGTAAGTGAGTTTACTTACATATTAAACCTACAGCTATAAAGTCAGTATAGTCCACACTAGTACAGAGATGGACCCACTTTCATTCCTGTGCATGGTAAAGATGGCCTTTAAATTTCATCAATTCCATGATGAAACAACCTTTCCAGGGCACAGGTAACTCACCTGTAGATTAAATTAGAATTTAACTTGTTAGGTTTTCCAGAGGGAGGAAAACTGAGAACCGGAGAAAACCCTCAAATCAATGGAGAGACCCTACAAACTCTACTCACATGTGATATGGATACCAGGAATCAAACCTGAGACGCCAGAGGTGCACTATCTCTATGTCACCCTTGATTCCATCCAACTAACATTGGGATTTTTGTTTATAGGCAGATATGTTAAGGTCTCTAGCCACTACAAGACCTACAGTCAATRAACAAGGTGTCAAAAAATTTGAGAAATTCACTCAAGATTTTGGACAAGAAGGATAAACAAAGGAAAATAGATGAAAACAATGATACAGTATAAATTTGTTAAATCTACATTTCACCTTTCTTGGAAGTATTTCAGAGTAGATCAAGTCTACTCAATAATAACTTTTTCATTTGATTCACCCATAAGTTTCATCATGTTCCAAGAATGTCCTGGTTTACCAGTTTATGTAAAGCTTATCTAGTTGTACTAAGATTATTATTTTCTTTCTCCCGATTGGTTAATCAAATTACAATCAAGCAGTCAAATACATTTCTTGCTTCTGATTGGTTTATCAAATGTCGAATTGACCAATCAGAAACAAGGAAACTTAACTTAATTAGAAGAGATTTCATTTGACTTTTTCCTTAAGAATATTGAACTCCGTATAAAATACCCCTAGACTATGAATGATGGAAAAAGGTAATTGAGTGACTGTCTGAGGAATGAGTGTCAAAAATTAGAAACAAATCTAAGATAGTACATGTCCAACACTTACTTCCTTATCATTAGTACTGGGATTATTAAAAAAAAATCCTATTGCATTTTCATTTGTCAAATGAAATCACAGGTCACCTAAACCTATTATGATTTTGATATCCTAGCCTAACAGCCAAGGCTCCCAGCAAAGACTCAAATCTTTCTATAGAGTGGTTTCACAGCAACTACTGTACTATGTCGTGATGCAAAACAAATGTTTTCAGCTTCTTTTGGAAGTGAAATCTTTCTCAATTCAAAAACAGTGTGTTGTTTCTGTCCTACAAAAAGGCTGCCATAAAAATCGTCAGTACAGATAGTTACCCTTTCCCCTATTCACAAGGATGGGTGGGAATCCTGACTAACAGGATATCATATTGATATATCTACAAGACAGTACCATCTGGATTTGCTAATTTCCATCATTGAAATAGAATTGATGTCTTATGATAGCAACCTACCGATAGCATCCACAGAAAATGTTCATCATTATTTACATCCCATTGGCCAGGATACAACACCATTATTGACCACAACACAGCACAATGCTTCCACACCGTTAGTTTTGCACAGCATGATTAAATATAATGGCTGCTCAACAGATAATGCCAAGCTAAAAAATTAGCACTTGTCCAGCCACACCTCTCAGGCTAATGACTGGACACATTGACAGGTCACATGCTGATCACTCCAATGTCATCAGCCATTCTAGCCCCACACAGTTCACAAAATATGTTTCTGATGTAGGAAATTAGGATTTAGCCTCCTACGCAGACATTCCGCTAGTATCTGTCACTCAAGGTTTAGGGAAACATTGCGTGACAGACACTATAAACGTCTGCATAGGAGGCTAATTAGGATCCTAGGAAACTATTGGAGCTCAGCACTCAAACCGTAGCTACGTTTAAACCTTTGATGAAATACTAAAATATATTAATAAATATTTGCATTTATGAAATATTTGAGATATAATTATGTGTGAGCTGATTGGTCGGCTACCATGTTTATATCAGTTAACAAAGACACGTGCAAAATCGTTAAAAATTATTTTATAAAAGCAATATAAAATGGCTCTTATGTGTCTGTACTGTGATATAAATACTCTGGGAGCTGTAGAGCACTTGAGAAACAAGAGAAACACTTGGCTACGCCTTGTGTTCCTAAGCCTGCTTCTCTCTTGCTCTAAGGCCACCAGAGTGTTTATATCACACTTCAGTGACATGTGCATCCATTTAATATTCCTTGAATAAAAATCAGGTCTTCCGTTTGCTGGATTTTGTTTTTATATTGATAATTGATTTTAAAACAAGCACACATTAATGATTATCAATAAACCTACTAGTTTAAATAATTATATATATTTTGAGGTGGCAGTTACTGTAGAGTTCTAAGCTCTTGTACATGCAAATATTCTGTGAGATTAAGAAAGATAATCGACTGTAAAATTAATCTCCAATCCCATTAGTATAAAATATTAGCAAGGCGTTTTGAGTATTAGAACTGTGTAAATAAACTTTGATTTATTTCATAAATTGATATTGTCTTTCTCTCTTTCTTCCATTCTCCATTTCTCTCCCTTTCCCTTCCATTTCTTTTATTCCCTTCTTTTTCAGTTTTCTTATTAATCACTTTCTTTTTCTTCTGCTTATATTATTCTGCTTTTATTCTTCATTTCATTTCATTTCATTCTTCCTTTCATTTCATTTCGTTTCTTATTGCATTCATTGCATTCGTTCCTTTTCTTACTTTTTCCTTATCTTCCTCAATCTTTCTCGTTTTTTCTCAATTTTTAAAATTTCTTTTTCTTTTTCAATTTCTCCTTTAAAAAAACAATTCTTTTTCACAAATGTCTTGCAAATTCCCACAATGCAAATGTGAAAACATTACATTTACCAGCTCACCCTCCCCTCCCTCAAAGATTCCCATGAGAACGTCATGTGACTCTAGCCTTGATCAGCCATCTTGAATATCACAGATCAACAAGGCGACAAGATGGCCGTAGAAACTAAAATGCTGTCCTTTGACGAGATGTTTTTTAACGTAGATACAGGATATCTAGAAGGTCTGGTTCGTGGTTTCAGGTCTGGGGTGCTAACACAGAGCGACTACTTAAATTTGACTCAATGCGAAACCCTTGAAGGTAAAGAACCACCTTAAATTTTGAGGAAGAAAAGTTCGTGTTTTGATTGCAAAGTAACTCTTCTTTTGATTAAATAACGAGCTAAAAGATAAATTCAGTTCATGCACGTACTACTGTACTATAAAATTAATATTTTGAAGAAAAAATTCATATTTTGAACGTACAAGAACGAGGGTGTACAGATGATGACAATGATGTCATGTTGAAGTCTAATCACAATTTTTTTCCCCTTCAAAAAAAGTCGCGTTCTTACTATTAATATTCCTTAATACCAAAGAAAGCAAAGAAACATCGTGCTAAAGCTATAATGACAGAAAAGTAGATAATTATGCTATTTTTATTTTTGATCCACACAAAAATGAAATCAAGTTAATAAGCTTAATATTTCCCCCCGATTTTTTATAGATTTAAAGCTTCATCTACAAAGTACAGACTATGGGAATTTCCTTCAGAATGAAGCAAGTCCACTAACAGTATCAGTGATTGATGATAAACTAAGAGAAAGGATGGTTGAAGAGTTCAAACACCTCAGGAATCAAGCCCTTGAACCTCTTGCCACCATTATGGATTTTATAACGTGAGTATATGTTTAGTAAGTAAAAATCGGGTTAATGCTATTGCTTCTCACCTCTGGGGTCTTGGGATCTATTCCTGGACTTGATACCACATGTGATTGGAGTTTATTAGATCTCTCTCTTCATTCAATAGTCTTTTTCTGGGTTCTCTGGTTTTTCCTCCCTCTGCAAACCTAACAACCTACATTCCAATTCAATCTGTGAGTTCACCAAGACCTAACTTAAATCAGCCCAGATGTTGTTTTAGGGTTGGATCTGTGAGTTACTGTACCTGTGCTCTGTCTTTGATCAGATTACAAGTTATTTCAGGGTATCAATAAAGTTTGAAGGTGAGTAAATTTGTATCCATTTTGACAAACATCTTGTTTTTTTCGTTTTAAAGGTACAGCTATATGATAGACAACATCATACTCCTCATTACTGGGACTCTTCATCAGCGTCCCATCCAAGAACTGATCCCCAAGTGCCATCCTCTAGGAAGCTTTGAAGAGATGGCTTCCATCGGTATTGCATCCACACCTGCCGATCTTTACAATGCTATCATGATTGATACTCCTCTAGGTGAGTTTAATAATAGCATAGCAATAAGTATAACTTGTTTTGACCAAACATATAGTCCCATCAATATTACCTATATTAATTACACCTGCCAATTTGTACATCTCCCTCAGCGAGATGGTTGTCGTAGCAATATGTATTTATACTTGTTATGTCCAAAGCCATTATTGACATCTTTCCACTAAAATATTGCATCCATGCCTACTCCATTATGTAAGGTGTTCATTGACCTTCATCCTTCCAAGATGGTCATCAAGGTAATATTAGTCTTTTGTGTCCAAATTATTAATGTGCTTCTATGATATTTCAGCACCATTCTTTGTTGAATGTATATCAGAACAAGATCTTGATGAGATGAACATCGAAATCATCAGGAATACTCTATATAAGGTAGGAAGTAGTAAACATGTTATGATAAATTTTGTWGTGACATCATTGTTGACCATTTTCTGACATGAACTTATGACTGATTATTCTTTTAGGCATACCTGGAGAATTTCTACAAGTTCTGTGATGGCCTGGGAGGAACCACCGCAGATGTCATGTGTCCTATACTAAAAGTGAGTCAGAAACTATACTATCTACTTTAATTTTGATTTACCAGCCAGTTGTTAGAGCCCTAGGATAAGAGTCTATATCTTTACAGATGTATTCAATGTTAAAACTAAACCTTTTTAAAAAAATATTTTTTAGTTTGAAGCAGATAGAAGAGCATTCATAATAACCATCAACTCCTTTGGAACAGAGTTGAGTAAAGATGAAAGACAGAAGTTGTTCCCACAGTGTGGTAAGCTCTATCCTGATGGCCTAGCAAAACTGTCTATAGCCGATGAGTATGACCAAGTGCGAGCTGTAGCAGATTATTACTCAGTAAGTCAATAGAAATTTAAATTATTTTTAAATTTCTGCAACCTCTCCAACTTTCAATTATTCACTGGGTTTTAAAGAGGGAGGAAAATGCAGAAAAATCCTTGATTCAAGGGAAAGACATGAGAAACTTCACTTACATGGGATGTGGCAGGAATTGAAGTAATATAAAATTATGTATTTGTATGATTAATAGGATTATAAGATGCTCTTTGAAGGATCAGGCACAGGTCCTGGAGAAAAGACTTTAGAAGACAAATTCTTTGAACATGAGGTATGTACCAAGTTATGAGGAAGTTATTTAGATCAAGTAAGGCAGTAAAAGAATTTTACCAGCTGAATGACAATATAAATGGATAATTGGGCACTGTTTTCTCTTTACTGTAAGCTGGTAATTAGATTCAAAAGATTCATTTAGCTGATTAACAGAAGGGAGACATCTTTTAGGYAGTATCACTTGTCTACAGTGTAGTTCTCCTTGACAGTTTGATGGAAGCATAAATAAACAAACAAACAAAAAACAAACATCCCTTGAATAATAAAAGAGACCTTGTAACAAACTCTACTAGTGAGATGGTGAGTCCAGGAATCAAACGTGAGACCTCATGGGTGAGAGATGAGTACCTCTATGCCTCTGTTCCTACCTCTGTGCCTCCCTCTATGCCTCCCTCTATGCCTCCCTCATGCCTCCCTCTATGCCTCCCTCTATTCCTATCGCTATGCCTCCCTCTATGCCTCCCTATGATCCCCAATGAAAATAATTTTCCTACATCCAAATCTATGGTACCAGTACCTTTGAAGGGGGAAGAAGCTTTATATTAAATTATATTATGAATTTCTTGCGTTTCAGGTTAAACTCAATGCACTGGCATTCCAGCAGCAGTTCCATTATGGAGTCTTTTACGCTTACTTTAAACTCRAAGAACAAGAGGGAAGAAACATTGTGTGGATTGCAGAATGCATTGCCCAGAGAAACAAATCAAAAATTGAAAATTATATTCCAATATTTTAGACAAAATTAATAATTAACACAAACCATATGAGAATAGGTAACATTCTGTCAAGTCTTGGTTATATTCAATGACCATACACAATTCTACAATACATACAAAGTTGTTGATGGGAAACAATTGATAATGATTGTGCATCCTCCTATACTGTGTGTCTACAACTAGACTAAAGATAAGCCCTGGGCAGGGGAAGTTTTGTGCTGACTTAATTGACCTGGATTCTGATTTGCCTTTAGTTTTACTGATATTTAATTTAGGTTTTATGCTAGAATATGTAGGTTTGCCCTCGCACAATTCAAGTCTCATTCTAGGTTTGTATAATGGCTAGTAAGCAAGTCCATGTTTAGGAAAACATGGTAAAATCACTTGCCCTGCTAAAAGGGCTTTCTACAGTTTCCTTTAATTACCAGTATCTATAATTAAATAAGATAATAAGTACAAAATTTTAAAACAAAAAAGAATAGTCAAAATGTAAATACAACATTATTATTGGAATGTCCTTTCTAGCTGAGTTAAAGGAAGATTGTTATGAAGTCATCCTGTTGGGGTAAATAGGACTAAGTTAAGGGAAAGATGAGAGAGTGTCTGCTGCCTATTTTGTCCCTAAATATTTAGACCCAAAATACTCCCTACAAATCTATTACCACTCCTTGTACTAATTCAGAAAGGCATGAAATTCCAAATTTGAATGGAATTGGGGTTACCATTACATTGAAGAAATAAATAAATCAAATCCGTCTAAGCTGAAAATGTGCATATTGAGATGTTATAAACAAGTGTTGCTCTATATTAATAGACAAAGTTTGTGTGATAACACTAGAGTGATTTTACTTGGCCCATGAGACAGTAGTATAATTAGAGACAGGCAATGGTCAAAATGTTGAACTTTACATGAGTCACACTCATCACAAACAATGACATGGAATTAGTGGCCATTGCTATGGGTTAAAATGTCTTTGGCAAAGTAGAATATCTGTAATGGTAGTCTCCTATGCTGATGTCCTCAGGGGCAGATSAAGCCAAAAATGTAGGGGGCTACAGTCCTCCTTTGTCCTTTCCTGGATCCACCCCCGTCTCTTAGTTTCCATCATGAAATATGTCCCTGAAAATCACTAATCATTACTTATATAGTGCTATTGCATTTGATTTCAGTTTGACTGCACCCCCACCCCACCCCCCCNCCCCCACCTAAGCAAACAAAGGAAATTATAAATTATTATTAACTACGGCACCTTACTGATTTGAAAAACTGAAAGAAATATATAGTCTTTAATAAACTGAGCATTCCAAATAACTACCATCCCACCCCTCCCCTAAAGATACAAATTGCCAAACGTTAAACCGTGAGAGGTCTGGGACTAGAGAATAACGCGGGAAAAATCGAAGGTTTGATCAAAGATGGCGAACGATTCGTGCATGTCGAAGATGAAATGAATACCAAGGCAATAATTCGCGATCGGCCTTGAAGAAAATTTTATAAACACTCTAAAACTATCCAAATGCTTATAAACGACGCTAGAAATTAATTTTCTGGAGTACTAATACGAGACGACCTAGCATATTCAACGGAAGAATTCCTGTACTCCGATCCTGTTATTTTTGAGAAAAAAACTCGTTCTTTAAATACATCATGGATCCGAGTGAAATAGAATTTCTGGCAGAAAAACAGCCCGTCACTATCCTACCGAACTTCTCAGAGAAGAAAATGTATTTAATAGGGGTGAGTATTGATTTCTTTACAATGATTTTTAATTTGATAAAAATATGTACACAACCAGTCGCGTTCAACTTGCCTTTGAACTTAGTGTGTATGTACTTGTTCAAAACCTTTTGAAAATATAATATTTGGTGCAAGTTGGTTTACGTTGGATATGATAGACGAAAGTTGGAGTACGGTAGATTATCTATCTCAGCGTTTACAGTTATTTTTTACCTTCTTTTAGGGTGATGTCGGTCCATTCAAGCCGTCTTTGCCTGTAAAAGTACCTCTTTGGATCGCATTAAATCTTAAACAAAGAAAAAAATGCAGGATTCAAGCACCAGACTGGATGGATGTGGGTAAGAACAACCCAGAAGAGATTGCTTTGATAAATCAATATGAAGATTCATTCCCCTCCCCTACCCCCCTCATGGACAGTGCTGTACGTAGATGAGATGGTGTCTATTGTTAGCCTTCTGCTCATTGCCTGTATTTCTCATTTCTGTAACATCATTCATGGTCAAAGAAAATGGTTAGCCAAGCTTTGACTGGGGTAAAGAAGCTAACTGCATTGAGGAGAGGAGGGACAAAGTGTTTACTACTTCAAAATATTTTCCGTCCAGTACCCCCACCCCACCCCCACCCCCACCCCACCCCCTACAACACACATAACACACCTTTTGCTATCCCTGATATTGTAAATTCATTTTTCTCATACTTTAAAGAGAGGCTAAAAGAGCTCAAAGAAGAAGAAACCAAAGCAGAATACTTTACAAAGATGCCTTCAAAACACTATATGGAAGTTGCAACTCTCCTTCTCAACAGGTCAGTCTTGGCATTAATTTAAATAGGACTACAATTATATGCATAATATTATTGTGTTTGATATGCTAAGTGAACCCTTTTACCTCGGGCATAATGTTTACCCAGACTGGATGTAAATCCCTAGAGTATCATTTCTTTGTTTAATGGTTTGAACAAGACAGAAATATGGATATAACTCTAACAAAGAACCTTATTTCAAGCAAGTGCCACAAAAAAAAAAAAAAAAAAAAAAGAAAGAAATACATAATATTCTAGGGAATAACATCTACAAACTTGGGCAAAAAATAGTTGAGAAATTTTCATGCAATCATGAAATAGTAGAATTTCCCTAATTAAACATTTTTATTGCCCGTACCCCCTCTCCCCCAGGACAATGTTGGTCCCAGTGGGTAAAGCAGCCCTGTCTCACTTGAAACAACATGCTCATGGTAAAAAGGTCTTTTGATATACATTTTCATTCATATGGATACTGGTCCATTTACAGTGCTGTGGACGACATTCCCCATGCTGATGATGTGCGCACAATTATCAAAGACATATGGGATGTGAGAATAGCAAAGCTGAGAAAATCCATTGATATGATGATCAATCAACAGGCTGTCCATGCCAGGGTAGGTAGCTAATAAATTATCATGGTTTTACCTTCTCTGTTTCTGATGCATTACTCCATATCCAGGGAGATATACATCCCTTTTATCCAGGGTATAGGGAAGCACCCCTGGGGAACACCTGTCTTGTCTTGCACCTYGTACTTCTTCTAAACCAATACTTCGTATCCAGGAAGAAGTGCACCCTTTTGTCCAGGATAAAGGGAAGCACCCCTGGGGAACACCTGTCTTGTCTTGCACCTTGTACTTCTTTTATACCATTACTCTGTATCCAGGAAGGCGTACACCGTTTTGTCCAGGATAAAGGGAAGCACCCCTGGGGAACACCTGTCTTGTCTTGCACCTTGTACTTCTTTTATACCATTACTCTGTATCCAGGAAGAYGTGCACCCTTTTGTCCAGGATAAAGGGAAGCACCCCTGAGGAACACCTGCCATGTCTTGCACTTCTTCTAAACCATTAATGTGTATCCAGGAAGATGTGCACCCTTTTGTCCAGGGTATAGGGAGGTGCCCCTGGGGAACACCTGTCTTTTCTTGCACCATGTACTTCTTCTATACCATTACTCTGTATCCAGGAAGGCATACACCCTTTTGTCCAGTAAAAGGGGAGGCATCCCTGGGGAACACCTGTCTTGTCTTGCACCTTGTACTTCTTCTATACCATTAATTTGTATCCAACGAGGCATGCACCCTTTTGTCCAGGGTAAAAGGAGGTGCCCCTTTGAAACACCAGCCTTGTAATTGCTATGCAATCACTTTATCCTCATGTTTATCTTGATAATATTTTGTATAACTGTACAAGGATGCATCATAATTTTACATCGTCATGTTTTAGCTGGATGACTTATCATTGATGGAGATCAACACAGTACGGTTACTCTTGACCAAAGCACTGGATCACCTGCATGACCTAAGGTGCCATGCAACAGAGAATCCTCCCTTGACGTGATAAATTTCATTAGTGTCTCATTATAATATAGTCTTAAAGGAGTTAAATAGTATTGTCCTCTTGTAGCTAAACGCTGCAGGAAAAAGGTGTCTTGTGGGACATAGCCTTGGTTTATTAAATTTGTGAATGTGCCAAGCCTAACTCCTTCACAGTTGAAGATTCTTGTGTACTGTGTGTGTGTTTGTAGTGCTATAATATATACAGCCTGGTGAACAGATCTCAAGATATCAGTAGTTAGAATGTTTATTTTGCTCGTGAAAAAATAGTCAACATAATACATAGTAGTAGACACTAATCCATTGCTTTCTTTTGTTTTTCTTTGAATAGAAAATGTGCATGCCTGAGGTGTGCAGTTATAAAGCACACAGGGGTTGGTAGAACACAAGAGAAGTGTTAGGAGAAGCATGGCATGTAGCAGAGTGCTTCTCAACACTTCTCCGGTGTTCTGCCACTCCCCAAGTGCTTTACAACTCCACACAGCACAGCAGCCAAGCTCATTTCTATCATAAATACAAATTACAACCATTATTTTGGATAGAAATGACGCAATTGTATGTGCRTACAAGTGCCGTGTACTCTCTAAAGCAGAGCTCCCAATTGCAACCAATCAGAATGCGAGATTTATCACAGTTATCTTAAAATGACTGTTAGTCACTAATWATARAACTTTGTTTCACAGGGCCAAGTAATTAAATCACTCTAGTTGTCGACTTCAAATAAATAGATTTAGAAGTTGACTTACATAGTATTATTTACTCCAAACTTGACTTTTAGGTCTTTGTTTTAATATAAGAGAAGTGGATGTAAAAAAATTGTTACAAATTGCATTCACATCTTGCTACAAAGAAGATAAAGCCTTGAAATAAAGACAGAAAAAAACAAGTTTGGATGCTTGCATTATGTAGTCTGTAAAAGCTATRAAGTCAAGAGAAGATTTCCTGACTTTGAAATAGCAAGGTTTAAGCTGACATAATCTATTGTTATTAATGTGCCAACCAGAGATCTATTGGCTACTGAAACAGAGAGATCTTTTGTTTTAATGCAAATTTGAATGAGAAAAGATTCCGGATGTCAATGTTGGTCAATGATGAATATCGCTATACTAGACACTGTTTGGTATGGAACTGAGGACATAATTTGAACCAATCATAGTTTAATACCGAGATCAAATGCAGTACTGTCATGTTCAATACTATGACAAGAGTCAGCTTTACACAGTTATCTTGAACTTTGCTCTGTATGAGTAAAACATGTAAGAAAACGTTTTCTGTAACAATGTTTTATTACAATATTATTTTTGATACTGATGAACGACGATGCATTACAATCATGATATAACTTCAGCTACACATCAAAAAACATGCTAAAAATATAATATACCAGTGCAATACTCATTAAATATTATCATAATTTAATATTTTTAAATACTATTTTTTCCATAATTATTGTATGATTGACTTTGTCATCATGAAAAATGCTTTACAAGATGAGAGCAGAACTCTATTTTTCCCTTAAACTAAATGAATATTTTTCTACTTTTTCCTATAGTTAGCTTCAATAATTTATTGGTAATAATTTATTAGCGTTTACACTGTCTGCCCTCCTTGAAGTATGGTAATGATAAAAAAAGAAAGAAAATAGCAAACGGAAAGGATCAATAATCCTTGTCGAGCCTATTTTATGAGTCAATACACTTATAATCACTAATATTTTATAATAGAAGACTTTTGTTATCTTTGAAAACTTTGCATAAAATAGTGTAGTCTGTCTAAGTTTTCTTGGCAAACTTTTTTCTCATCGTGTAGATGTTTCTTTGCTTGAACTAGGTCCTGAAACGAAATCAAGCACGTATTAGATGAGATAAATAGTTGGGGTTGGGAGAGATGTGCAAGAATAGGGGTGTGATAGGAATTAGAAAATGATCAAGTGACTATCAATTTCCCATACTTACCGTCATTTGTGTATTCAGGTTACTGGCTTCTTCGTTCAATGACGCATGCTTAGATTTCAGCTTATTTGCATTTTCTTGTAGGAATGATAGTTCATGATCACGTTCTAAAAGAAGTTAATGAAATTGTTTGTGAGATGTAATGCTTTAAACAAAATCTACAACTAGATAATAATAGTGTTTTTTTTATTGAGTGGGAAGTGCAAAGGAGTGACTTGAGGTACAGCCATATGCCATGTCTTGATACTAAGATGGTATGCTATTGTTTAAGTCCTATGTACTTTTCTCTGATACTCACCCCCAGAATGAAGAAAGTATGCCTTCATGACACTCTCTACCCCAGGCCATTTGTATTCATGCTCTTTCCTTCCCATCAGAGGAACTCTAGAACCTAAATCCTGTATAGAAAGAACTTTAAGTTTGAATTTGTTGCATAATGAGGGGCACCTATAAGAAGGTAGCTTAATTACACATAGGTTTTTAGAGTCAAAGCACCATTCTTTGAACACTCCCCACATGGGATGTCTGTGTAGTACGTAGGAGGCTTGGAGGCAAAAAAGCTTATTGAGCAACCTTTTCCCCAGAAATTATAAACTCGGACTACTTTAGGGAACAGTCATTATTTAAGTCAGAGGAGGGACAGAGGAGAAAATGGGGGCCCATCAAAAAAATTTTTAGTGGAACATGGGGGGCCTTGAAAGATTAAAAGGGGGATTGGGAGGATTTTTTAAACAATTGAAGGGGGTACCCAAAAAACATGAAT